TACTATATATATACATACATATATTACTATATATATACATATATTACTATATATATATGTATATATATATATATATATATATATATATATATATATATATACATATATACATACATATAGTATATGTATATATATATATATATATGTGTGTGTGTGTGTGTGTGTGTGTGTGTGACTTCTTGGTTCATACATCATGAATATATTTTAACCACAAAAGACTATTTTTGTCTTATGTGCAAATATAGAGACACATATATATGTGCAAATATATGTCTTATGTGCATATATATGTCTTATGTGCAAATATAGAGACACATATAACACTTTACAATTGCCTACGAAGTATTTGTTCTACCCATAAAAGAGTTAAAAGATGAAATTAAGGTGTTACCGGTGGAAGTAGTTTGAGATAGAAGGCGAGTTGAAGATAAAGACAGTAAAACGTTTCCAAACCAGTTCTTCTGCAATCAGCTTTGATCTGTAGACTAATTAAATATTTTGGTCTCAATAAGACTATTTTAATAGTAATTCTCAATAAGACTATTTTAATAGTAATCAAGTTTGCTTATACTGGCCACCTCATTTAAGAAGCTAAATTTGTTAGACCCAACAGTACCCAATTTGAAAATCATTCACAGTATATAAATCATCACCTTTTGGCAATAGGATATGCGATTCACGATTCTCTTCCTTGCGGAATTACTCGCAAAATTTATGAAGGAGGAGATTACTTGTACACTCAATTATGCTGTAATTGTGAATCATATTCCCTTGTCTTCCCATTTCCTTTCGCAGTTAACCCTCACTGGTACATCTATGAGGTATTGACTCTACCCATAATACCTCGAACCTTTCCTATTATACGTAGCATAAATTGAAAATGACACCGCGAAAAGACGCCATGTGACCGTGAACACACTTGTTTCGTAGATAAACAGTTGATTCAATTTAATCCCCTTTTAAATAATGAAAAGAGAATAAAAAGTATCAAATCGCACCAAAATGATTCCATCTTGGTCATCAGAGAAAATCTTTGACGCATTACACTCATCTGATTATATAGTTCTGAAACATTTAAGTTATAGCTATTAGTGTAGAGCATTGACTGTAATTTATAAAACCATTAAAGCTTATCATTAACTTAATTGATACCCTGACGATACTGTTATCGAATTTGTACCAAGTTAAATATGATGATGAACTAGTTGATAGATATATAAATCACTTTAATAGTATATTACATGATGAACCAGTAAGTACTAATTTAGTTTCATTAACAGATCCAACAGGTCAACAACTACTGTACTTTCTAGTTATCACGATGTTCACACGCGCTATAAAAGTGACACGTGTTATGAATGGTCGATCCTTATAACGAGTAAAAATACGAAACGTGAGTGTGATAATAATAATACACTCAAATATGGCATTTATTGATTTGAAATCATACGAATAAATGGTTCTAATTACCAAAGAATTAAAATTAAACAAAGTAACTCCAAATGGATATTATGAACCAAAAGTCAAAGAAAATAAAGGGACTCGTGTTTGTATCCAAATGATAAAATTATAATACGACTTCAGTCAATCAACTGTAGATGAATCATTATTGTTTTTACCTGGAGGTTTCCTAACTAGTGAAGAATATCACTTGTATTCTGTAATAAGTAGCATTGCAAACTCAGCAGAAAATAAAACGCGTATCGAGTTAAACGTATGGAATTTAAAAGCGCAGGATCACAAAGCAAATATGTTTCAACTAGTCTCGGACACGTAACTTGCCCTAAAACTTCGTCATTTCATTTTCTCTGCAACTTTTAATATATTATGTTGTGTGCAGGTTAGTTCTAACATACGATAATACTTGAACATCAGAGCTTACAGATTCAGTGAAAAATGTTTAAAAATTATGGAACTTTGAGGGACTAGGCGTAGCGATACTTATAAATGACGATGAACATCCTTTTCATTCCAGACTAACTACCTACTGTTTTAATGAAAACCCTGTGTCGATAAGACCATCTGTTCTAAAAAAGCAGGCATATGCAGTCATCATGTTTAAGGTCAGATCAGCCCATTAAATATTATAATAATTATATACTACAAAAAGCATTGTCTTTTTCAAATGTTGGCCGGACCCGTTTAGAGATAGATGTTGCGTAATTTATTAAATAATTAAGTTGACATTAACATAGTTTATAATTAGATACAACATAAAAGCGCTTTAATGAAATCCCCATGCCGATACGATGCCCTGCAAGAGTTTTTTTTTTTTCGAGATAACTTGCACTGAAAGACGAAGTAGACATCACGATAACATTTCTTGGTGAAAATATCATCTCAGTATGACCATCCATTTAGGAGGAATATCGATAACACTACTGTCAAGAAAATAGCTATGGCAGCCATGTTGGACGTCAGACAGGTTTCCTCTTTAGGACAAATTAGAAATCACAGGTCTTTTAGTGAAATTCGAATGTCGATATGAACATCCGTTTAAGAGAAGTAACGATAGCAAGATTTTCGTGCCAGCTACCATGGTGAAAATACTGGATGTCAGATCGGTACCATTTTCATTTTGGACTAATTTGACCTAAAGATATATTTCAGTGAAAACTCCATGTCTATAAAACCATCTTTTCAGGAGGAGTAGTTATAACACATTTTTAAAGATGATCTCTATGCAGGATATATTTGATGTTTCAGTAGCAATTTTCATTTAAGACCCACTAGACCTTAGAATAAATGTGCGTGTGTGTGTATGCGTGTGTGTGTGCTGTTATATGTGCGTGTGTGTGTTTGTGTGAATTTCATTGCTGTTTAGGAGAAGCAACCAAAAACTTGTACTAACAGATGGCCGCTAAACGACGGACGATAAATCACTTCATAAGCTCTGTGGGTCTATGACCGGTAGACCTATAAATAATCCCACTATTCACAAGAGGCAGCAATAACTGCTGTAACACCGCTTGTCTCTCGCAGACATTCACAAAATCGGGCAAATGAGGAACACTCATCAAAGCACAAAGGCGATATGTTGCTGATAATCCGGAATTGGCAAGATAACATGCCTTGTACCTCTTTCGGATAATTAGATACAAACATAAAAAAGTGAGTTCAAAATTGATTCTACATAAATAAGACTAAAGGCACTTGATATGAAATTTAGAAATCATGCCACAAATGAAATGATACCATACAATACAATAATTGATACCATACAATCCAGGAAATTATGCCATATAAACCAAGAAATGATACTATACAATTCAAGAAATTATACGATACAATCCAATAAATGATACCTTACAATACAAGATATGATACCATACGATAAAAGAAATGATACCATACGATCCAAGAAAAGGAACTATACAATGCAAGACTGAATAAGAGGTTATTATGCATGTAAATACAAAGTGATTGATAAAAAATATAGATAGATAGAACAATGAGTGGATGGATGGATGGAAGGAAGGAAGGAAGGAAGGAAGGAAGGAAGGAAGGAAGGAAGGAAGGACATACAGCCACATAGATTGATGCTATCAAAGCAATCAAAGGATTCTAAACCTTTCGGATGTTGAACAACATAAATATCAGCCACAAAACTGGAGAGAAAAGTCTGAGATAAAAAGTATGTGAAATCAACCTCATTCATCTCTGGTTAAAACTCTTAGAAAATTACTGATTTGATCAAACAAAAGACGTTTAAGTCTGCAAAATGTATGCACCCTGAATTAGTGGGGCTTGTGTCAGGCATTCAGTATAAATGTATGCACCCTGACTTAGTGGGGCTTGTGTCAGGCATTCAGTATAAATGTATGTAATTGAATTAGTGGGGCTTGTGACAGGAATTCAGTATAAAAGTATGCACTCTGAATTAGTGGGGCTTGTGTCAGGCATTCAGTATAAATGTATGCACCCTGAGTTAGTAGGGATTTTGTCAGGCATTCAGTATAAATGTAAAAGATAAAAGTGAAATTGCAAAATCAATCTAGAATAACATGTAACGTCATCACACAAAAACTGGTAAATTTATTTTACATGTATCTTTCAGTAAAATTATCACACACACACACACACACACACACACACACACACACACACACACACACAAAGAGGATCGAACTTATAGTGGAATCTGCAAGAAAATTCAGTAATTATTATCACATATAATATGCACAATTTCACCAAACATAATGTGTTGTGTAAAGAAGGGTAAGTTTCCTTAAAAATGTCGACTAAAATGGAAATGGAGTCAGAATAATTATTTCACGTTTTGACTTGATATTTTAAAATATTTTTTTTTCCTGCGCCCAAGAACCTTCGCACTTTTAAATGTGATATCCGTAAGTGTTGTTTATACACTTTTGTATGTGTATCTTTTTTGGGTAGATAGCGTCAATTTCGCTGTGATAATTAAGCAAAACTTGTAATTGTATGTACTTTTTCTACATGTATTTTAAAATTATGGGGGAGGGGGTCTTATATTTATTTTTCATATATTGTCCCTGGCAGAACATGACATTTCCCTGTGACTATTTAACATAACTGATGAAACTTAAACATAGGTCAATGCGACCTTTTTATTGGTTGTTGAGTAGTACATCTGAGATGAATATTTCCATCAATTTCATGATTGGTCCTTGAACAGCATAAGAGAAAATAAATTAAATGCAAAACATTCACGTAAACACTAAAGATTTGAAAGTAGATCACTGTGACCTATGTTTGCTTACAGTGAGCATTGCCATCCAAGTACAAAATATCCATCCACAACAGTGCCCATACACCGAGCTAAATGCAAAGAAATTAACGTTGACGCCTGTACCAGCAGCGACAAAAGCACAGTCCAAAAAGTGAACCTATCTCCATCTGTGTTTCACGCATGAGAATCACGTACAATTTATAAGCAAGACGAAAATCTCTCCGTACACACACGTAAGTATGTATGCACACACGTAAGTACGTATGCACACACGTACATACATAATTGAACCGCTCCGGTGGCCTAGTGGTTAGAGCGTCCGCCTCGGATGCGGGAGGTCGCGGGTTCGATCCCCGGTCGAGTCATACCAACTTACAAAAATGATACTAACAACTACCTCGCTAGACGCTCAGCATTAAGAAGTTAGTGTTAGGACTGGTCGGCATGCATAAAAGATCGATGAAATATTTTATCCCATTCCGGCCCTGTAGAAATGCTATTGAAATGGACACATTTCTGATCTCAATAGATTAATTTGTGCTATTTCCTGACATATCTCTGACCAATTACACATTCTATTGTTAGAGGCACCACTGTGACAAATTAATTCGTATCTCTTATCGAAATCCATAGCACGGGTGATTCAATTGAATCTTCCAGCTGTGGTAACACTTTTGCTGCCTGGCGAAATCAAAACATTTTTAGTGTAGTTAGTATGTTTAGCCATGTAATGGTTTGGAGGGGGTGGGTGGGTGACTGTTTAATTACCAGAATTAATAGATAGCAAGATATATGTATCACTTTCCAAAAGATGGTTGCTTGTTTCACCGCCATTAGATAAGATTTTGAGTTTAATTTTGTGGTAAATAATTTTAAAATCCCATTCCATACATAACAATATGATGGTTTTCATATAACAAATCATTAAAGGATATAATACGAGTTATAGAAGGACGGTGTTCATACAACACGCGTTAAAGAACGAGAGTGTTCATAAAACACGCGTTATAGAAGGACGGTTTTCATAAAACACGCGTTATAGAAGGGCGGTTTTCATACAACACGCGTTATGGAATGGCGGTTTTAATACAACACGCGTTATGGAATGGCGGTTTTCATACAGCACGTGTTATGGAATGGTGGTTTTCATATCTCACGCGTTAAGGAATGGAGGATTTCATATAACACATTATAAAATGACACTTTTCATACAACTCATATCATGATAGAATGTTTTTTATGTAACATACATCACAGTAGGACTGATGTTCATCGGACTATTTGCTTTAAACCCATTGGACGACTTTTATAGAACATACAACCTCTCTGGTGGGATAGCAGTTAGAGCACACGCCTTGGATGCAGGAGGTAGTGGGTTCAAACCACAGCCAAGTCATACCAAAAACTTATAAAAAATGGTACTAACAGCTGCCTTGCTGGGCGCTCAGCATTAAGAGGTTAGTGTTAAGACTGGTCGACCTGGTGTCAGCATAATGTGATTGGGTGGGACATGATGCTACATGTCTAAGGCACTATGCCCCAGTGCTAGACATCACTATAAACTGCCACACTGCAGGCATCGTAGCGACATGACTGCAAAACTGTTTAAGCTACAGTAAAAATTCGGATAACGCACACACATAACATACATCATGATAATACGGTTTTCTTATCATACATTATAATGGGACTTTTTTCAAGTAAGGCGTTGTAATTGGACCGTTGTCGTATGACACACGTTATAATAGGACTGTTTTCATATGACACACGTTATAATGGGACTGTTTTCATATGACACACGTTATAATAGGTCCGTTTTCATATGACACACGTTATAATTGGACCGTTTTCATGTGACACGTTATAACAGGATAGTTTTCAGGCTATTCACTAAGTGTTCAGATTAACCGTTGTTTGCAATACTGCCTTTAGAAATATGAGAAAGGAACTTATGACCAAATCAAGGATCACAATCCAAGATGCAAAATTAGACTGTGTCCATTTGTCCATGGAAACTACAGAGTATTATATCTTTCTACAACATATTATATGAAATTCAAAATTATACTTCTATACAAAATTAATGAAACTGGTGTGAAAATACTAAATTAATGATTTTATAACGCAAAACAATGCGCACAAATCAATCAAGTTATTGAAATGATTTATTAAATTTCCTATGAAGTAATACAAAGCCTGTATAATATAGTTCATTGCTCCCTCTTTGTTACACTGCTCAATGTATAGGACAGTGCTCCCTCTTGGCTACCCTGCTCAGTGTGTAAGATATGACAGTACTCCCATTGATTACACTGCTCATTGCGTTAGACAGGACTGCGCTACCGCTTTGTTACACTACTGAATGTGTAAACTAGGACAGTGCTCACTTTTGATTACCCTCTTCATTGTGTAAGATAGGACAGTGCTCCCGCTTGTTTATACTGCTCATTGTGCAAGGTTTGACAGTATTCCCTCTTGATAATAATGTTCATTGTTTAAGATACAGCAATGATTCTTCTTTACATTGTTAATTTTGTTATATTGTACCACAATTCATCTTTATCACGCTGTTCATTGTATTGTATTGGACGGAGCTCCTCTCTGCTTTACTGTCCATTAGGTAAGATAGTATAGCACTCCATCTTTGTTACACTGCTCATTATTAAGAATGGAGAGTAGTCCCTCTTGATCACAATAATCCTTATGTAAGGTAAGACAATGCTGTATTTGTTACAATGTTTATTAGCTACGATAGCAAAATAATTTATCTTTAGCACACTGTTCATTGTCTAACATAACACAGAGCATACCTCTTTATACTATTCATTCTGTAAGGTTGTGTAAGATACCACAGCGCCCATCTTTTATATACTATTCATTGCCTAACATAGCACAGAGCGTATCGTTTTACGCAATTCATTCAGTAAGATTGTACAGCGCTTATCTTTAATTTACTGATCCTTATGTAACAATGCACGGCATCCATCTTTTATACACTACTCATGGTCTAATATAGCACAAAGCTATCTTTCTACACTATTCATTCTGTACGATTGTACAGTGTTCATATTTTTACACTATTCGTACTGTTACATTGTACAACGCGTCTGTCTGATTTACAGTTCATTATTTATGTAAGATAGGACAGCTTATCTTTAAGTTTACTGTTCATTATGCAAGACAGTATAGTGCTCATCTCGTTACACTATTTTGTAAGATAGTAGTGTTAATCTTTATCACACTATGCATTGTGTGAGATTGTAAAATGCTTTTCTTTATTACACTATGCATTGTGTGAGATTGTAAAATGCTTATCTTTATTACACTATGCAATGTGTGAGATTGTAAAATACTTACATTTATTACACTATGCATTGTGTGAGATTGTAAAATGCTTATATTTATTACACTATTTACTGAGAGTACAATATTGATCTTTATGGCACTATTTATCGAAAACAAATAGTAGTACTCATTTTACTACACTATTCATTGTGCAAGATAGTACAGTGCTCATTTTTATTGCAATCTTCATTGTCAAATAGCACAGTACTCACTCTATTCACTTTAATAATTGTACAGTACTCAGTTTATTACACTAGTCCCTGTTTAAGATATTACAGTGCTTCTCTTTATTACACTATTCAGTGTGTTCGATTTTACATTTCCGATTTATTAAATGGATTTTACTACTAAGAAGTCACAAATTGTTATATTCCAAGCATGAAGTTAATTGGATAAAGAAATTATATATATATATATATATATATATATATATATATATATATATATATAGAGAGAGAGAGAGAGAGAGAGAGAGAGAGAGAGAGAGAGAGAGAGAGAGAGAGAGAGAGAGAGAGAGAGAGAGAGAGAGAGAGAGAATCTTAAGAAAAATTGTGTTCCCATTATAATTCTTAATTTTATTGCTCGTTCTAGAGGTAGGAGTTGCATTGTAATATTTAAAGAAATTATTACATTAAAAATTGTTTTGATCATAACGTTAAAATTCGCTGCCGAGATTACGAAAAATAGTAAGAATAAACGAAAGAAAGATTGTCAAGAAAACAATAAAATAGAATAAGTAATCGTTACATACATGTAATAATATGTGGACACTAGTATTCTAGGATTATTTGCATTCATGCAATACAATGTGTCACATATTACTGTTACGATTTTATGGCCTTAAAATAAGTAATAGAAAGGAGCAAAACCCAAAACGTTTTGTAAATTTAGCAAACAATTTTTTCGCTAGGATACAAAGTGAATAGGTAAAAATAACTTATGGTATTCCGAATTAAATTCCAAACAGTCTTACAATTTATAACACAGGTCCTAATGAATAAAGTAATAAATAAACTTTAGTGGCATTTCAAAAAAAAATCCAATGCTGAAGGTGTTGATATGCCGTTCGGAGTCTATAGTATTTAATATCCTAATGTACTAATGACCTGAATTGCAATGATGTGCCAACAGTCGTTTGATGAATCACAATAATACAATCCAAGAAGTCCTTCACTGAATTTACTATAATTCCAAATAATCTCTTATGTCCAAGAATATTTTAAGGACCATTTTGTAATTCCAGAGAATAATAAATAATTTTACCCAAATATAAATACAACAATACAGATGATTTTTGCATAGATGATAACGCAGGAATAAAACATTTCTTTTTCTCCAGTAAACAAGATTATATTAATAAACAAAAACAAGACACAAATAGTACCGGGATGAGTGCTAAATGTTCATTTTTAGACGTTTTTATTAGTTTGCCGTTCTTTATGTCGCTTTCAATCAGATAACAACACAATTATTAAAATTACTTTACAAGTACAAACACATTTCGTCTAAAACAATCCAAATTTTAAAAAATAAGAAACGAAGAAAAACGAACATAACATATGCTTTGCTATTTTTTTAAAAAAATATTGTAACTATTGTTCGATATAAAAAAGAGCATACGTACGACGGCCAAATTTATAACTTTAACCTTTTTTTTACGAAATATATTAATGCTAAAACGACGATGACAAAATGTTAGTGAATTTCATTTTGGTGGTTGATAGTAAAAGGGAAATTTATTTGTCTGTATATTTCTTACGTAACCGTCTTACAAATTTTTATTAACTGTCTGATTTTATGTTTAGTAGTAGGTGACGTATTTGTAAATGATTAGTTTACTTAATTTATTACTTGCAGTTTTGTTTCTGATAAATATATCAATGAAAAATATTCATGAATAACAGTTTGGTTTTGTCTTTAATTAGGTCGTAATTTTATTCTTTTTGGCTGTGTTTTACGTACTATTTTTAACACAGTCTTCTGAGAACGTACAAGGCAACCATAAAAATCATTCTGAAGA